ATATTTGCCGTTGTAATAATAAAATACGTGATTGTATGTGTAAATAGAAAAAAAAAAAAAAAAAATACAAAATCAGCATGGCGCGAACACTCGATCCGCAAACTACTAGCGCGACGCCTTGTCCGCTGCGCCACGCCGCCACTTCGAAAAACTTACTTTTGCAACGGTACTTATGCAGCGTGCTAAACTTCTCATCGCGATTTCTTGAAAACGCTTGAGAGTTGCGTCGTCTCCGTTTAGCATTTTTTGCTCTTATATCCAAACTACATTTCTGCAAAGTTTCATAAAAATCGGTGACCCCCAGGGTGTAGGCACCCCTTGTTAGTTCCATCACTAACTCTTTTATACGGTATATCAACGGGGAGTGTGCTCCTTTTGGATCTGTTGATCCAGAGCAAGAGATCACGCTCAACGAGTCAGAGACTATAACGACCTTTGCAAAGCCAAAATCTCTTAGGTACTCTAGGGCACAGATAATGCCATGGGCTTCCGCGTCAAAGATGGTAGAATTACTACTTACACGTTCGTAGTGAACAAGTTCAGGATCTTCAGAGACCACAGCGAAACCAGCCGCTGATGACGTCTCTTCTGAGCCCGGGGAACGGGATCCGTCGGTGAAGAACACCTTAGAGACGCCACGGTCTCTGAAGAAGTCACTAAGATAACGTTGTGGATTTTCAGCCCGACGTGCGAGGAACCCTGTGTCGGTATCCACCTCACACTTAAAGAACCTAACGTGAAACGGGAGGGCGAGACTCCCCGAGAGTGTGAATCTTTTAACGTCTTTAAGAAGGTGTTGAAGATCCTGGTACACAGAGAAGAGACCGAATTCGTTTCCTGCACAAATAGGTTCCCATGTAGTACAGGAGTCACCGAATAGTCGTCCCAGCGGGTGGCTGGACCTTGCATAGACTCTGCACACATATTTACTAACAAGATACCTGTGTCTACACCGTAAGGGTTGTTCGCTGACGATGTCGAGTAACACGTTGGTTGGAGTTGTGCGCATGAGGCCACAAACAACCCTGGCACAGGCATATTGTAGACGGTCCAACACGACGCTTTCACGTGACACAAGTGGGAAGGTCACCTGGCAACCCCACTCTAAGACGGAGCGTACCAGGCCCTTGTACGCAGTCAACAGGACGGCGGGGTGGGACCCCCACTTGATCCCTGCCAGAACTTTAAGAATGTTAATGCGAGGAAGGACCCTTTTCTTTGTTTCAGCAACATGTTTTTTCCACGAGAGAGAGAGTAATCTATGTGAACTCCGAGGAACTTTACTGTCCACTCTATGTTTATTTCAACCCCGCTTATGTGGATACTGATTCTTTTCTTATTCAAAAGCCATTTCATATTTCTTAGAGGGCAGAGTGAGTAGAAGGTGGCCACGGACTTACTGGGAGAGACTCGAAGACCGAGAGACGTTAAGTGGAACTGAACTCGATCTAGGGCCGTGTTCAGTCTCTGAGCGACGTCTGACACTGAGGGGTTGGAGCAGAAGATTACTACGTCGTCGGCGTACACGAGGGCTTTGACACCTGCGGGTAGGCAGGACTCAACCCGTGACACATAGGTGTTAAATAGTATGGGACTTAAAACAGACCCTTGAGGAAGTCCTCGACTTGTATTGCGGGTCTGAGAAGACTTGGTTAGGTGGCGTGCGTGAGCACATACGTGATTGTGAGAACGTGCGATATAATAGCGATTTTGTTAGATAAAGAGAATAGGGAAGTTAGTGTAAGTAGTAGAAACAGACGCGGAAGTTAAAGAAATAGGAGGAGAAATAAAGGCAAAGTGAGCGGATAGAAGCGGGAAGAGAAAATAGGAAGGAAAGGAAGGCGGGAGATAAGAGGTTATGGCGGCAAAAGGTGCGGAGGCAGGAAAGGTAGGAAGAGTGACAAAACTGAGGAAAGAGAAAGAAGAGAAGCAAAGACAATTAAAGTTTCCGATAGGAGGAAAGGAGGCGAGTAAGACGGAGAAGAAAAAGGTGACAATTACAGAGATGGAGACAAGAAGGAGTCGAGGGGAGGAAGGTGAAATGGAAAGTGTAGAGAAGATAAGGTCGGAATTAGATTTAGAAAAGAAGAGATTCAAAGAATTCATGGAAGAATGGAAAAAGAAAGAGCAAATATGGGAAATCAGGATAAGGATATTGAAAGAAAAGATGGAAGAAGTAGGCAAAGTAGCTAAAGAAATGAAAGAAAAAGATGAAGAGAGAAAGGGATACTGGCTAGCGGAGAAAGAGGAAATGTGCGGGAAAAGTGTAGCAAGTGCAGCGAGTGCAGTAAGCAGAAGAATGAGCAGCTACGTAGGTTCGACATCGGAAAGAAGCGCGGATAGGCTAAGTGTAAGGGAGATAAACAAAATAAAAAGTATTATCACCGACAAAGAAAAAAAGGAAAGAAGAAAGAATGTGGTAGTGAAAGGGATCGAGGAGAAAGAAATAAAAGTGATAAAAGAGGATCCGAAGAGATGGGCAAAATTCTTTTTCAAGACTAAATTAGGGCTGGATTGCAATGTGGAATATGGCAGAGTAAGCAACAAGGTAATAGTAATTAGATTAAGCAGTGAAAAGGAAAAGAGAGCGGTGATGGAAAACAAAAACAAGCTGAAAGGAGAGAAGATATTTATCCAGAACGACTTGTCATGGAAGGAAAGAAAAACTCAGGAGGAAATTCACAGATGGGTAAAAGAAAAAAGAGAAAAAGGAGAAGAGGTGAAAATAGGAACAGAAAAAGTGAAGATTAAAGAAAATTGGAGACAATGGAGAGATATACAGAGAGAAATGGAGGCAGGAAAACGGAGAGAGGAAGAAGACAAGGAATTGGAAGATAAGGAGGTTAGAGAAGAGGAAAACTAGAAGGAGGCCAAGAAGAGGAAACCAAGGAAAGAAAACAGAGGAAAGCAAAATCGAGGAAAGTGTTATTTTGGAATGTAGCGGGCATAGGAAATAAAGACTTAGAATTTTGGAATTTTGTTAAAATATTTGACTTCATAGGATTAAGCGAAACATGGATTACCGAAAACGGATGAGAAGGGGTGAGAGGCAAACTTCCAAATACACACGTGTGGTTCTGTAGTTACGCAACAAAGGTAAGAGGCAAAGGAAGAGCAAGGGGAGGTTTAATGGTAGGAATAAAGAAAGGTTGGGAAGAAAGCAGCTGGAAGATAGTGGAAACAGGTTATGAAGAAGATATATTACATATAAGGAAGAAGGACGAGGAAGGAAATCTAAACATCATCTTGATATACAATAGAAGATACAAAAGCAAAGAGGTAGGAGAAGCCATTGCGAAGATAACGGAAAGGTTCGAAAAAGAGTATATAATAGTAGGAGGAGACTTTAACATAAGGACAGGGGAATTAGGAAGAGAAGAAAACGAGGGAGGTGTGGAGAGGAAAAATAAAGATAGAATAATAAACAATGGAGGAGACAAATTCATAGGTATAATGCAAGAGAAAGGTTTAAACATTTTAAATGGGAAAGTAGAAAGTGACTGGGAAGGAGAATTCACCTATGTAAGAGGAAGAGATAGCACAGTGATTGACTATGTTTTTGCAAATGAACCGATAATGTACAAGATAGTGGACTTTAGGGTAAAAGAAAGAGTGGACTCGGATCATATGCCAATCTGCGTGAGGATAAGCAGGGAGCAAGAGGTAGATAGAAGATATAGAGGAAGAACAGGAGAAGAAGAGGCACAGAAGGAAAAGAAAGTTATCTGCTGGGACATCGAGGCAATAAAAAGCTTTATTGCAAACACGGAGGAAACAGGTTGGATTGAAGAGCAGGAGGAGAGGAGTCTAGATTTTACATGGAAGAAACTAAAAGAGCTAGTAGATAAGGCNATGATAAAAAAGGATATTAGGATCAAAACGAAAAGAATAGGATTTAAGGAATGGTGGGACAAAAGGTGCACAAAGATGAAAAGGGATACCAAGAAGAGCTATAAGAAATGGAAAAGTGATAAAATATCGAGGCAAGAATACTTAGAACAGAAGAAGGAATGGAGAAGATATATGGAAAAGAAAAAAATAGAGAAAAGAGAAGAAGAAGAAAAAACACTGAAAAGGATAAGAACGGAAGCGGAGGTATGGAAATTTATAAATAAAAGGAGAAAGAAAAGAGAAACGAGGGAGACAAACCTTGAGGTGGAGGAATGGAGAAAGCACTTTGTGAACCTACTAGAAGGGCAGGAGACGTTGGAGGAAGAAGAGAATAAAGGGAGCGAGGAATGGGAAAAAGAGGACGAACAAAGAAAAGAGAAGAGACAAGGGGACGACCCATCGGAAGAAGAAATAAGAAAGGTTGTGAAGAAAATGAAAATGAAAAAGGCAGCAAGAATAGATGGCATTCCAATGGAGGCTTGGAAACTAGGTGGAGAAACAGTAAAAAAAGGAATTGAGTGAGGTAATAAGGAAGGCATGGTGCAAAGGAAGGATACCGGAGGAATGGAGAAAAAGTATAATAGTACCCATATACAAGAGAAGTGATCACAATGTAGCGGCAAATTATAGAGGGATATCACTGTTGTGCACTGCGTACAAAGTGTACGCAGAATTGATAAGAAGTAGATTAGAGCAAGAAGTAGAAGAGAAGGAAATGATCCCGGAAAACCAGGCAGGATATAGGAAAGGACCCAGACGGCACAATGATGTATTTAAGACGTCTTGAAGATATCTCACAGAGACTTTGAATGTGCAAAAGATATCTTGTTGAGACATTTTCGAACAAGTAATGATGTTCAAATAATATCTCAGGGATATGCCTGAGACTGCTAATGTCCACATCAAAAACATGCAAATGATATCTCTTGCAAAAGTTTTAAAAATGAGGGGAATTTCGAGATTTCAC